GGGCAGCTGTAGTTGTGGTTGAGGCAGTTGTTGTTGTGGTTGGGGCAGCTGTAGTTGTGGTTGCGGCAGCTGTGGTTGTTGTGGTTGGGGCAGCTGTAGTTGTGGTTGGGGCAGCTGTAGTTGTGGTTGAAGCAGTTGTTGTGGTTGGGGCAGCTGTAGTTGTGGTTGCGGCAGCTGTGGTTGTTGTGGTTGGGGCAGGTGTGGTGGTGGTCGGGGCAGCTGTGGTTGTTGTGGTTGGTGCAGCAGTGGTTGTGGTCGGGGCAGCTGTAGTTGTGGTTGGGGCAGTTGTGGTTGTTGTGGCAGGTGCAGCAGTAGTTGTGGTTGAAGCAGCAGTTGTTGTAGTTGGGGCAGCTGTAGTTGTTGTAGTTGGTGCAGCAGTGGTTGTGGTTGGGGCAGTTGTTGTTGTGGTTGGGTCAGCTGAGGTTGTTGTGGTTTGTGCAGCAGTGGTTGTGGTTGGAGCAGCTGTTGTTGTGGTTGGGACAGCTGTAGTTGTGGTTGAAGCAGTTGTTGTTGTGGTTGGGGCAGCTGTGGTTGTTGTGGTTGGTGCAGGAGTGGTTGTGGTTGGGGCAGCTGTGGTTGGTGCAGCAGTGGTTGTGATCGGGGCAGCTGTAGTTGTGGTTAGGGCAGCTGTGGTTGCTGTGGTTGGTGCAGCAGTGGTTGTGGTTGAAGCAGCTGTAGTGTTGTTGGGGCAGCTGTAGTTGTTGTGGTTGGTGCAGGAGTGGTTGTGGTTGGAGCAGCTGTTGTTGTGGTTGGGGCAGCTGTAGTTGTGGTTGAGGCAGTTGTTGTGGTTGGGGCAGTAGTAGTTGTGGTTGGGGAAGCTGTAGTTGTAGTTGGGGCAGCTGTGGTTGTGGTTGGGGCAGTAGTAGTTGTGGTCGGGGCAGCTGTAGTTGTAGTTGGGGCAGCTGTGGTTGTGGTTGGTGCAGCAGTGGTTGTGGTTGGGGCAGATGTGTTGTGTGGTTGTTGCAGCAGTGGTGTGGTCGGGGCAGCTGTAGTTGTGGTTGGGGCAGTTGTGGTTGTTGTGGCAGGTGCAGCAGTAGTTGTGGTTGAAGCAGCAGTTGTTGTGGTTGGGGTAGCTGTAGTTGTGGTTGGGGCAGCTGTAGTTGTTGTGGTTGGTGCAGCTGAGGTTGTTGTGGTTTGTGCAGCTGTTGTTGTGGTTGGAGCAGCTGTAGTTGTGGTTGGGGCAGCTGTAGTTGTTGTGGTTGGTGCAGCAGTGTTGTGGTTGAAGCAACTGTTGTTGTGGTTGGGGCAGCTGTGGTTGTTGTGGGCAGGTGCAGCAGTGGTTGGGGCAGTTGTTGTGGTTGGAGCAGCTGTTGTTGTGGTTGCAGCAGCTGTAGTTGTGGCAGGTGCAGCAGTGGTTGTGGCAGTTGTGGTTGGGGCAGCTGTGTTGTTGTGGCAGGTGCAGTAGTAGTTGTGGTTGAAGAAGCTGTTGTTGTAGTTGGGGCAGCTGTAGTTGTGGTTGGGGCAGCTGTAGTTGTTGTGGTTGGTGCAGCAGTGGTTGTGGTTGGGGCAGTTGTTGTTGTGGTTGAGGCAGCTGTAGTTGTGGTTGAAGCAGTTGTTGTGGTTGGGGCAGCTGTAGTTGTGGTTGAAGCAGTTGTGGTTGGGGCAGCTGTAGTTGTGGTTGGGGCAGCTGTAGTTGTGGTTGGGGCAGCTGTAGTTGTGGTTGGGGCAGTTGTTGTTGTGGTTGGGGCAGCTGTAAATGTGGTTGCGGCAGCTTTGGTTGTTGTGGTTGGGGCAGCTGTAGTTGTGGTTGGGGCAGCTGTAGTTGTGGTTGAAGCAGTTGTTGTGGTTGGGGCAGCTGTAGTTGTGGTTGCGGCAGCTGTGGTTGTTGTGGTTGGGGCAGGTGTGGTGGTGGTCGGGGCAGCTGTGGTTGTTGTGGTTGGTGCAGCAGTGGTTGTGGTCAGTTGTGGTGGTGTGTGTGTGGGGCAGTTGTGGTTGTTGTGGCAGGTGCAGCAGTAGTTGTGGTTGAAGCAGCAGTTGTTGTAGTTGGGGCAGCTGTAGTTGTTGTAGTTGGTGCAGCAGTGGTTGTGGTTGGGGCAGTTGTTGTTGTGGTTGGGTCAGCTGAGGTTGTTGTGGTTTGTGCAGCAGTGGTTGTGGTTGGAGCAGTGTTGTTGTGGTTGGGACAGCTGTAGTTGTGGTTGAAGCAGTTGTTGTTGTGGTTGGGGCAGCTGTGGTTGTTGTGGTTGGTGCAGGAGTGGTTGTGGTTGGAGCAGCTGTTGTTGTGGTTGGGGCAGCTGTGGTTGGTGCAGCAGTGGTTGATCGCAGCTGTAGTTGTGGTTAGGGCAGCTGTGGTTGCTGTGGTTGGTGCAGCAGTGGTTGTGGTTGAAGCAGCTGTAGTTGTTGTTGGGGCAGCTGTAGTTGTTGTGGTTGGTGCAGGAGTGGTTGTGGTTGGAGCAGCTTGTTGTGGTTGGGGCAGCTGTAGTTGTGGTTGAGGCAGTTGTTGTGGTTGGGGCAGTAGTAGTTGTGGTTGGGGAAGCTGTAGTTGTAGTTGGGGCAGCTGTGGTTGTTGTGGTTGGGGCAGTAGTAGTTGTGGTCGGGGCAGCTGTAGTTGTAGTTGGGGCAGCTGTGGTTGTGGTTGGTGCAGCAGTGGTTGTGGTTGGGGCAGCTGTGGTTGTTGTGGTTGTTGCAGCAGTGGTTGTGGTCGGGGCAGCTGTAGTTGTGGTTGGGGCAGTTGTGGTTGTTGTGGCAGGTGCAGCAGTAGTTGTGGTTGAAGCAGCAGTTGTTGTGGTTGGGGTAGCTGTAGTTGTGGTTGGGGCAGCTGTAGTTGTTGTGGTTGGGTCAGCTGAGGTTGTTGTGGTTTGTGCAGCTGTTGTTGTGGTTGGAGCAGCTGTAGTTGTGGTTGGGGCAGCTGTAGTTGTTTGTGGTGCAGCAGTGGTTGTGGTTGAAGCAACTGTTGTTGTGGTTGGGGCAGCTGTGGTTGTTGTGGCAGGTGCAGCAGTGGTTGTGGCAGTTGTTGTGGTTGGAGCAGCTGTTGTTGTGGTTGGGGCAGCTGTAGTTGTGGCAGGTGCAGCAGTGGTTGTGGCAGTTGTGGTTGGGGCAGCTGTGTTTGTTGTGGCAGGTGCAGTAGTAGTTGTGGTTGAAGCAGCTGTTGTTGTAGTTGGGCAGCTGTAGTTGTGGTTGGGGCAGTTGTTGTGGTTGGGTCAGCTGAGGTTGTTGTGGTTGGGGCAGCTGTAGTTGTGGTTGAAGCAGTTGTGGTTGGGGCAGCTGTAGTTGTGGTTGAAGCAGCTGTGGTTGTTGTGGCTGGGGAGCTGTAGTTGTTGTGGTTTGTGCAGCAGTGGTTGTGGTTGGAGCAGCTGTTGTTGTGGTTGGGGCAGCTGTTGTTGTGGTTGGGGCAGCTGTAGTTGTTTTTGGGGCAGCTGTGGTTGTGGTTGAAGCAGTTGTTGTTGTGGTTGAAGCAGTGTTGTTGTGGTTGGGCAGCTGTAGTTGTGGTTTCGGCAGCTGTTGTTGTAGTTGGGGCAGCTGTGGTTGTTGTGGTTGGGGCAGCTGTAATTGTTGTGGTTTGTGCAGCAGTGGTTGTGGTTGGGGCAGCTGTAGTTGTGGTTGAAGCAGTGTTGTGGTTGGGGCAGCTGTAGTTGTGGTTGGGGCAGCTGTGGTTGTGGTTGGGGCAGGTGTGGTTGTTGTGGTTGGGGCAGCTGTAGTTGTGGTCGGGGCAGCTGTAATTGTGGTTGGGGCAGCTGTGGTTGTTGTGGTTGGTGCAGCAGTGGTTGTGGTTGAAGCAGCTGTAGTTGTTGGGGCAGCTGTAGTTGTGGTTGGTGCAGGAGTGGTTGTGGTTGGAGCAGCTGTTGTTGTGGTTGGGGCAGCTGTAGTTGTGGTTGGGCAGCTGTAGTTGTTGTGGTTGGTGCAGCAGTGGTTGTGGTTGGGGCAGTTGTTGTTGTGGTTGGGTCAGCTGAGGTTGTTGTGGTTGGGGCAGCTGTAGTTGTGGTTGGGACAGCTGTAGTTGTGGTTGAAGCAGTTGTTGTGTGGTTGGGGCAGCTGTAGTTGTGGTCGGGGCAGCTGTAGTTGTAGTTGGGGCAGTTGTGTTGTGGTTGGTGCAGCAGTGGTTGTGGTTGAAGCAGCTGTAGTTGTTGGGGCAGCTGTAGTTGTTGTTGGGGCAGCTGTAGTTGTTGTGGTTGGTGCAGGAGTGTTGTGGTTGGAGCAGCTTGTTGTGGTTGGTGCAGCAGTGGTTGTGGTCGGGGCAGCTGTAGTTGTGGTTGGGGCAGCTGTGGTTGCTATGGTTGGTGCAGGAGTGGTTGTGGTTGAAGCAGCTGTAGTTGTTGTTGGGGCAGCTGAGGTTGTTGTTGTTGGTGCAGCAGTGGTTGTGGTTGAAGCAGCTGTAGTTGTTGTTGGGGCAGCTGAGGTTGTTGTTGTTGGGGCAGCTGAGGTTGTTGTGGTTGGTGCAGCAGTAGTTGTGGTTGGGGCAGTTGTTGTTGTGGTTGGGGCAGCTGTGGTTTGGTGCAGCTGTGGTTGTGGTTGAAGCAGCCTGTAGTTGTTGTTGGGGCAGCTGAGGTTGTTGTGGTTGGGGCAGCTGTGGTTGTTGTGGTTGGTGCAGTAGTAGTTGTGGTTGGGTTAGTTGTTGTGGTTGGGGCAGCTGAGGTTGTTGTGGTTGGGGCAGCTGAGGTTGTTGTGGTTGGTGCAGCAGTAGTTGTGGTTGGGGCAGTTGTTGTTGTGGTTGGGGCAGTTGTGGTTGTGGTTGGGGCAGCTGAGGTTGTTGTGGTTGGGGCAGCTGTAGTTGTGGTTGGGGCAGCTGAGGTTGTTGTGGTTGGGGCAGCTGTAGTTGTGGTCGGGGCAGCTGTAATTGTGGTTGGTGCAGCAGTGGTTGTGGTTGGAATTGTAGTTGTTGTGGCAGCAGCTTGTTGTGGTTGGGGGAAATGTTGTGGTAGGAGAAGCAGTTGGTAGTCGGAGCTGTGTTGTGGTTGGCACAGCAGTGGTTGTAGTGGTTGGTGCAGCAATGGTTGTAGTTGGTGCAGCAGTAGTTGTGGTTCGGGCAGTTGTTGTTGTGGTTGGGCAGCTGTGGTTGGTGCAGCTGTGGTTGTGGTTGAAGCAGCTGTAGTTGTTGTTGGGGCAGCTGAGGTTGTTGTGGTTGGGGCAGCTGTGGTTGTTGTGGTTGGTGCAGTAGTAGTTGTGGTTGGGTTAGTTGTTGTGGTTGGGGCAGCTGAGGTTGTTGTGGTTGGGGCAGCTGAGGTTGTTGTGGTTGGTGCAGCAGTAGTTGTGGTTGGGGCAGTTGTTGTTGTGGTTGGGGCAGCTGAGGTTGTTGTGGTTGGGGCAGCTGTAGTTGTGGTTGGGGCAGCTGAGGTTGTTGTTGTGGTTGGGGCAGCTGTAGTTGTGGTCGGGGCAGCTGTAATTGTGGTTGGTGCAGCAGCGGTTGTGGTTGGAATTGTTGTAGTTGTTGTGGCAGCAGCTCTTGTGGTTGGGGGAAATGTTGTGGTAGGAGAAGCAGTTGTCGTAGTTGGAGCTGCTGTTGTGGTTGGCACAGCAGTGGTTGTAGTGGTTGTTGCAGCAATGGTTGTAGTTGGTGCAGCAGTTGTTGTGGCTGGGCCAGCGGTAGTTGTTGGAGCCACAGTGGTTGTGGTTGAAGCAACTGTTGTTGTTGTTGACACAGCAGTGGTTGTTGTTGGAGCAATGGTTGTTGTGGTTGTAGAAACAGTGGTTGTTGTTGGGGCAGGTGTTGTTGGAGCAGCTGTTGTGGTTACAGCAGCTGTTGTCGTTGGCACAGCTGTGGTTGTTGTTGGGGGTAGGTGTTGTTGTAGGAGCAACAGATGTTGTGGTCGGCACAACATTGATCGTTATGCTTGTTTGCCCCTTTGTCTTCATTGCTATAGCTATGACAAAAAATTATTTGTGCATGTTATTTTTCTTTTTGTTAGCTTCTCACATTGTTGTGACATGTTTTCACTTACCAGCAACCAGAATGAATATCCAAATACTCTTCATTATGATCCTGTATTATAAGTTCTGTTTAAGAAATAACACATTTGTTAGCTTTGCATTTTAAAACCTTCAATTCTCCTTTTTTAGACATTTTTTCTTATATATTTTCTTTCCTTTATCTGGTATCAGACCATTTAACCCTTTAACTGTCACCCTGAAATCTCTTAAATGTAATCCAAAGGTTTAATGAGGATTCCATTCTCATAACAGTTAAGGATTCAAAGATTACAAATTAGTTTTTTTCCCCTTTGTTTAATGTGCCTTTTCGGATTGCATTCTTTATCCCTTTTTCCTTCAATGTTTTTGAAAGTAAAAAAAGAGTATTTCCAATACTCAATAATAAACTGTAACAGAATAGCATTTTGATGTTACATAAGTCTTCTGTCAACTCAGCATAATTCTTATCAATTCACTTGTGTGGTAGTTTCAGAACTTATGTCATCATGATACATTTTCAATAAAAACAGACCTAGTTCTTATGAAGACACCCAGTATATAATCAAATAAATCCAAGACCATTTGAAATTCAATTACCCTATCTTTATTTTAAGGTTGTCAAATTTAAATTGTTATGCTACCTGAGCGTCACCATTTGTTTTAAAAGACATTAATCTATACAATATAGTCTCCAGTGCTTTATTTTTATAATAACAGAATTACAGTAAAAACATATAAATGTGACTGAAATTATTTAGTAAAGCAACACTTACAGGTTCTGTCGAATGAGTTCTCTTCACTTTGACACTGTTCGCTGAATGACTGGTACTGCTTACTGGTGTAGTGGAGAGCTTTATATTCATCAAGCGCACGTAGCATGGATTCAGGTGCACGCAAAGATGAAAATTAGTAATTCTGTGAACAATACTTTATTGTAGGTGTGGCTACCTGTGACATATTTCTGTCTTTAATTTGGATATGTGCGTGTGTGTGTGAAAGGTGCCTGAGGTAAGCTTGTTGAACAGGATTTATTTTCCTGTTACATATGTGAACATGTTTAAATTTAGGATTGTGTTCCTGCTTTCTAATAAAAGTCCTTTCCACATATAGCTATATAATTTTATTTTTCTAGAAAATAGATATTAAGCCTAACTAAATTTTCTTAATATTTTTGCCTAAATACTTAACTGAATCAAAGAACATTGAATATTTTTTATTGTTTTTAATTAGAAATTCAATATAAAAAATATAACAAATATGTTAGGTAATATTTTTGATATTGCATTTGAAGGTGGAGGAAGACATTATATTTTGTTGTCAAAACTAAAGAAGTTTAAATAATTTTATTTATTATTGTTAGAATAACAATAATAGCTTAAAAAAGTAAATGTGTTTTACTCCACTAGTTATAAGTCTGCCAGTTGTACTTTTTTGGAGACTGATGTCTTACAGTGTGATGATGCCTCATTGTCCTGGAATGTAAAATGTCTGACGCAAATCACCAAACTCTGACATCAAGAAATATCCTCTTATGACCAAGTCATGTTTGTCTATGTAAATTTAGACCTCTGACCTGATCTTATTGTTATTAATTTGAACATTCATATGTTATGAAAACAAAAGATGTTTTAACCCCTTAACTGTCACCCTAAGAACACTTACAAGTAAGACAATGGGTACATGAGGACCCATTGTCCTGAGATGCCCATTTCCTCTTGTCCATTGTTTGCAGAGGCTATGATTTGTCCTTTTCTTACTCTGAACCAGACTTTTTTCTAGATTTCTTCCGCTAGTGAGTCACGCTTGAGAAAATGTGAAAAAAAAACAGCATTTTGTGCTTTGTTGTAGCTGTTGTCGTGGCAGCAGCTGTTGTTAATACATAAAACATAATTAAAAATATTTAATTATGTTTAGATAATTAAAAGTTCATATTGCTTTTAATTAAATTTAGATAACACCACTGGAGAACTCAGTAAAGTGCTCTTTGAACTACTTGTTTTGTCTTTGCATCTAGTAATACAACAAATAGAGTCTAAAATTATAATTACAGTCAAAGGAGAGCATTAGAAATGTTTATTTCATGACTCAGAAAGTTTCTCAGGAACACCCTTGGAGTGACACGTCCAGTATGTGGACTTCTTTGTTTTTGTATTGGTACAAATAGAGTTCACCCTATAACTGAACTTCATCACTTGTCCAGTTTTTACATCAGAGTCAATAAAACTGTCATGCCAGCTCGAAATAGCCTGTTTCTTGATTTTAAAATGAATCTGTGCAAGGGTCCAGCATTACAAAACAAATTTTCTATTGTATTTAATAATCAAATACGTTGTTAAGGCTGTTTGTTAAATATAGTATATTTATATATATTTTTGTAGTATTTTATCTAAGTAGTTTGAAAAAAAAATTGGTTTATTATTATGATACTAAAATTATGATAAATTATTATTACATTCATTATTAAGGCAGTAATTTTACCATTTTACTGAAATGGTAAAATTACATACTGCCCCCCATTTTATAACAGACAATTTTTTTTTTTAATTTTCTAAAATTTTAAAAAGATTTTAAAATATTAGAAAATGATAACTATAAATAGAGAGAAACACTTAATTATATCACAGACAATGTGATATTTAATGTGAACATTTGACAAGTAAACCTAGAAATAGTAAATAGATTAAATGTAGTTTAATGACTTGAAGGACATAATTAAGTGTTGAAAGAATATTATCAGTGTTTTTTACGTCTTTTTTCTTGAGGCTTACATAAGTTTTCTTCCATTCTATTATGCCACAAATAACTTTACTTTTATTGATACTTGCTAAAACTCCCATTGTGTCTGCACTAACAAAAGCTTGGTTTAATAACAGCACCTGACATAGGAGATGTCTGAGAAAAGTACAAGAACATCTCAAATAGTTGGGTGTGTCTTTTACTTTGAAATGTTTATCCTGCCTTTCTTAAATGTCACTAACTATTGTTAAGAAAGGTTATTAAAAAAGTTCCTTTATTCAGAAAGGAAATAGTCTGATTATAATTACTTGTTTAGACGTCATTATGACTCGGCAATCTGCAAAATAACCCTTTAAAGTTAGATAATTGTAATTACTTAAAGTTGTTATTTGCATTTAAAAGTGTATACATAAATTGATAGAGGATTACAATTAGAATCAGTAGAATCATAGTTAATTAATTTCAGTTACAGGCCTTTCTGTACAGCTGCATAGTGATGCATATCAACTGCAGGATACATTCAACTTGCGCCTTCATTCTTAAATCCTCTTGATAAAACACAGTGCTCCAGCAGCAGCAATCATTAGGTTACGACAAGTTCTGACAAAATGGGAATATATGGTGTCATCTATATATAAATAAAAGCTTAAAACTAAATCACATGAAATACATGAAATATAATTTGCTTGACGTGAGTTTTAAATTTTTTTTTTTTTGCTTTTCGTTTGTCCAAAAAGGAAGGACTGACATAGCGATTGTACAACTATACAAAATAGATCAAAGCACAGGTGTGAGTAATGTGTGAGGATGTGTCCTCTTTTAATGTGTTTCTCCCAACCTCTGTAAAAATGACAGGAAACCTGTTGTGAGACAAGGTTATTTAAATATTTTCCTTTCATTTTGAAGACCTCTGTTTTTTGTGCCTGACAGTGTGATAGTTAAGAGCCAAAACACATTGCACATAACATTAATAACCTCTATAGTCAAATGCTGGGTACTTCACTTAAACTTATTTTTCCTAGATAATATCACTTGGAAACCCCCAATTCACAAAGATTCTCATGCTTCACTCCCATCTTAGCCTAAAAATCCCTGCCAAGGAGTCCCTGTAGGGCTGAAACAATTCCTCGAGTGATTTGAGTACCTTGATTATTAAAATTCCTTGAGGAAATTCTATGTGCCTCGAAGCTTCGTTAAATTATATATAATTTAGCGCAGTGTTCTGGCCGAGTTATTACTTGCGGTGCGCGAAGCTTTCACTTCTGTCCGAGTTGTTGACGAAGGCTAAGTGTTGGCAGCATAAAGTCCAGTTTTCAAGTTCGGCCTGAGAGGATTTTAGTGATATTTTTTGTTTTTCGGGGAACCAATAAACATCCTTAAAATAACTGGCACTATGCCTGAAGTATGCCTGTGGTGGATAGGAGGGTCACCCTGTAACCTTAATGGTGAACCTAAGGGTTCACAGCTAGAAAGGAAGAGACCAGTATATTATGATCAGTTTCTAAAACTACGTATATTATGATCATCCCACTCAGTTCAAGTTTGTCCAACTCAGTTTATTGTGTTCTTCCAGCTCATTTTAATTGTGATCATTCAACTAAATTCAATAAGTTCATTCAATTCAATTTGCTAAATTTATCCAACTCAATTTATTATGATCATCCAACTCGATTCATAAAGTTTATCCAGCTCAATTTATAAAGTTTTCTTAACTAAATTTATTAAGTGAGTTCAAAATGTAAGTCAGTCTTACTCAAATCATTCAGCTCAAATAAAGAAATAACTAATAAAGAATCTTTTTTGTGGCTCATTCAGCTTTTATTTGGGAGTTGTTACACAGGAAAGTGGGAGATAGCATGCAGCAAAGGTCATCAGGATGGGAATCAAACTTTCAATAGCAGTGCCGAAGACTATGGCCTCATTATGTGAGTTGTGCTTTACCTCCGCGCCACCACAACACCAAGATCAGTGCAGAATCGATGATGATGTATAAGGTGCTGTGGACGTTCAGATCTTCAGGGGAATAAGGCTGTTGCCCATGTCCCCCAAATCAGTAATAATGTTGATGTCAAGGCTGAACAAATATTTGCTATCCACTATTTTGCATTTTTTCTTCACTGTAGTATTTGTGGGTTGCATAATTGTAAAGTCACAGTGGTTGATTAAATCGGTGAATACCCACTGAAGGGCCAGGGATCAAATGCACGGCCAGCCACTGGAAAAGATTAACCACTGTTTTGTCACTTAATTCTGAAATCAAACAAATCAATTTTTTTATTAATAAATGCTAAATTATATGATAATTTATTGAAATATTTAAAGAAGAGGGAAAAAACCAGAGTATACATGCTGGATATCTATCACATATATTCTGCACCCACTGAAAAAATAAATATTAAATTAAAAAATAACATTTTTTACAAAAAATATATAATCTCCCATATTGTAGTGTATTTGAAAAATTTTAAGTCTTAAGACCAAAGAAATATAATATTTATGTTGCATTTGAAGTTCACAATTAAATTAATAAATTACAAAATATTAGTTCACAGAAATAAACATGTTTCATGTAATTTAGAAAATATATTCAAGAGTAAGAGGTTTATATGAAGACAAGCATAAGTCCAGTTTTAATTCATCATAACTACTGAAAAAAAAGCTATGACCAAGAAGATACTGGATTTGTTGTGAACTGCATTGGAGGTTGTTGTAGTTGTTGAAACCGTGTTGTAGTAGTTGTGGTTGTGGCAGCTGTGGTTGTTGGTGCAGGCGACGTTGTAGTTGGGTGTTGTGGTTGTTGTTGGTGCAGTCATCGTAGTTGGCGTAGCTGTGATTGTAGTTGGTGCAGTTGTGGTTGTTGTTGCAGCTGTGGTTGTTGTTGGAGCAACTGTGGTTGTTGGTGGTGCAGTCGTCGTAGTTGGTGCAGCTGTTGTAGTTGGTGCAGTTGTGGTTGTTGTAGGTATGGCGATGGTTGTTGTTGCAGCTGTGGTTGTGGTTGTTGCAGCTGTGGTTGTTGTTGGAGATGCTGTCGTTGGTACAGCAGTGGTCGTTGTTGGAGCTGTGGTGGTTGTTGGAGCAGCTGTGGTT